GAAGAAACCAGATATAAAGGGGAAAATTTATGATTCTCTCCACAGATACAGAAGAAAAATTTTATAAAATTCAATACAAATTCATTATAAAAACACTGAGCAAATCAGAATAAGAAATGAATGTCTTTCTTCAACTTGCAAAAAAGGTGCTAACTTTTTCAAAAGAAAAGACAGAAGTTACAGACAATAAAATAATATCTTTAAATTGCTGAAAAGTAATTCCCAACATCAAATTTTATAATTGCAAACATACTCTTCATAATGAAGATGAAATAAGTATGTTCCCAGAAAAACAAAAGATGAATGAATGCACTGCCAGGACATGCACTGAAAGAAATGATGAAGAATTTCTTTCAGCAGAAGGAAAATTATTTTAAAAAGGACTATCAAAATGAAGGAAGCTTACTTATGAATTCTACTTCAATAAAGCAGGTGAAAACAACTGTGAATGGTAATGCAATTAAAAAATGCAGGAAGCGGGGCGCCTGGAGGCGGGGGGTTCAGTCAGATAAACATCTACGTTCTGCTCAGTCATGATCCTGGAGTCCTGGGATAGAGCCCGGCATTGTGTTGGGCTCCTTGTTCAGCAGGGAGTCTGCTTCTCCCTCTGACTGTCCCCTGACTGTCCGCCTTCTTGTGCTTTCTCTCTCTCACACTCTTTCAAATAAATAAAATCTTTATTAAAAAAATGCAGGAAGCAATATGAAAAAAATAGAAAAGTTAAATATGTAGGTAATTTAAGTGAATCTTGACTACACAAAACAATGAAAGTAGTAATTTGTGGGATTAAAATATATGTATGTATGGTATTAAAGAGTTAAAAAAAAATCTAAGGATGAATGTTGCTATCACCAGAGTAGGAAGAGTAGAAGAAAACACGTTAACAGATAAAAAAATTAAATAATGATAAGTATTTTATTTAGAGAATGAAGAATATAAAACAAGTTGCTCAAATAGAAAATAGCTAGATGGCAGGTATAAATCCAATTATATTGTCAATGATATTAAATGCAAATATACTAAATATTCTAATTAAAAGAGATGTTACAATGAATTCTTCTTTTTAAAAAAGAAAGAACTTATATGCATTTTAAATATAACAGTTTGAAAGTAAAGTTCCAGAAAAAGATAAAGCAGGGAAATGTTATATCAGACAAGCAGACTTTAAAGCAAGAACATTTCTAGAAATAATTCATACTGATAAACAAGTCATCAGGAAAACAAATCAATCCTAAACTTATATGCATCTACTAATAACTTAAAAATACATAACACAAAAACTGACAAAACTAAGAGGAGAAATAGATGAAACCATAATCAGAGCGGGAGACGAATGCGTTTCTCTCAGGAGCTGATAGAATAGACAAGAGAAGCAAGAAGATATGGAAGTTCCGAACAATATAATCAATAAACTTGACATAACTGACATATATAAAGTACTGCATCTAGCAACCACAAAATATTCTTTTTATGTGCACCCAAAGTATTTACCAAAGTAGACCAAGTTGTGTCTTTATGCAAGTGTTAATATATTTCAAAAGACTAAAATCATTTGATCTATGTTTTGTAAGTATAACAGAAATCAGCTAGAAATCAAAACCAGAAAGTACTTAGAGAAAAAAAAAAACCCAGGTGATTAGAAATTGAATATGCTTGTTAATGATCCATGGGTTAAAGAACATATCAGAATAGAGAATAGAAAATATTCTGAAGTTTATGATAAAAAGGATATGACATATTAATAATTGTGGGGTATAGCTAAAGCAGTACCTACACAAAAACCTTAAATGCATATTTTTTAAAAGAAAGTCTGAAAATTTATAATCTAAACTAGCTCAAGAAACAAAAACAGTAATGATAAAAGTTTTAAATTAAAAGAAGGAATAAAAATAAACATAAAAATAAATTAAAAAAAAGAAAGAAAAAGCAATACAGTAAGAAGAAAAGAAATAATAAGGAGCAGACTAAATGCAACAGAAAATAAATATATTAAAAAGAAAGATCAACATAGCCCAAAAGACAATTCATTTAGCAAAGATAAATAAAACTGATAAATCCTTAGAGTAAAACTAATCAAGAAAAAAATTTATAAAACACAAATAGTCAATATTAAGAAAGAAAAAGAGAACAATACTGCATACCCTACAAACATTAAACATGTAACTAGAGCTATTATGAACAACTATATGTCAATAACTTGGCATTTTAGATAAAATGGACAAACTTTATGAAAAATTAACGAAGTTGACATAAGAAAAAAAACAGAAAATCTGAATATTCCTCTATCTATTAAAATAGGATGTTATCAAAAATCTTTCCACAAGAAAAGTACAGGTCCCAGACAACTTCTCCCAAACTTAAAAGGAAAAAAAAAATATTTACATAAATACTCATAGAAAACAAAAAAATTAGTGCACTATCAATTCACTTACCATAACCAGCATAATATAAATACCAGAACTTGAAAAATTATTACAAAAAAGAAATATAAAGCATCTTTATTATTAACATACAAGGAAAAATCCTTTAAAAAATTAGCAAGTAAAATTTAGTGATATATCAAAAGGATGTATCATCAGAAGCAGTTCATTGCAGAATTGTAATGGTGATTTAACATTCAAATATCAGTTCTTTTTTTTTTTAAATATCAATTCTTAAAATTCATTACATTAATAGAAAAAATATTAAAATTACATTAATAGAAAAAAAGAAAATAGTAATATATTTTTGATAGTGACATAAAAAGCATTTGATAAAATTAAAAAACCATTCATGAGAATCAGGAGTGCAAAGGAACTTTTTTTTTTTTTTAAGATTTTATTTATTTCTTTGACAGAGACAGATCACAAGTAGGCAGAGAGGCGGGTAGAGAGAGGAGGAAGCAGGCTCCCTGCTGAGCAGAGAGCCCAATGTGGGACTCGATCCTAGGACCCTAAGATCATGACCTGAGCTGAAGGCAGAGGTTTTAACCCACTGAGCCACCCAGACGCCCCCAAAGGAACTTTTTATCTGTTAAGGAGAATCTATAAGAACCCAAAAGCAAACATATTAAATAATGGGAACATAATAAGAATGTCCACCATTAGTACTTTTATTAATTATTGAACAAAAAGTCACTACAACAAGATAAGAAAAAAATTAAAGGCCTACAAACTGAAGGGGAGAAGGACAAACTGTCCCTATTTGTAAATAATAAAATTATACTCATAGAAAATGAAAAAAAAAAGCCCTACAGATTAACTATTAAAATTAATAGCAAGGTCACTGGAAACAAGGTCAATATTCAAAAATTATCTTTTATTTCTATATACTAGCATCAAGAAGAAAATGAAATTTTAAAACAGTAACATTCAGAATACCACTAAATATCTAATAAGTAGAAAAAAAATCTAAGATGTGGAATAACTATTTAAGAAATTATAAAACTGAGACAAAATACATAATATCTAAATAAATGATAATATACCATGTTCACAGATAGAACACTCAATTTTATTTAGTGTCCATTTTCCCCAAACTGAATTACACGTAATCCTAATCAAAATTCCAAAAGAGAGAGAGAGAGAGAGAGAGAGAGAGAGAGAGAGTGTGTGTGTGTGTGTGTGTGTGTGTGTTTAAGTGCGTGTATGTATAAACTGGCAAGCTGAGTATAAAATGCACTTGGAAATGCAAAGGGGCCAAAAGAGTCAAGATAATATTCAAGAATAAAGACATAAATAAAAACAATGGAGGCCCACACTATCAAATATTGACTCATGATAAAGCTAGTAATTAAGACGGTGTAGTACTGACAAAACAACTCATGTACTAGGATAGTGAGTTCAGAAACAGATCCATATACACATCCAGTCATACAAAGTCAACAGGATTTTCATATGAAACAAATTATGACCCTTCCCTTACAACATACCCCAAATTCTAGGTAGACTGAAGATCTAAATGTAAAAGGGAAAATGCTAAAGCTTGCTATGGACTGATTCATTTATATTCGTCATGGTATAATTAAGCTTTCAAAAGAAAATGTAAGAGAATGCCTCATGGCCTTCCAACTGGTGAAGATTTTCTAAAAGGCCACAGAAAGTAGTAACCATGGGGGGGATAAACAGATGAACATATACAGATACATACATTAGATTTTTATAAAGAACTTCTGTTCATCTAAAGACGCCATTGAGACTGACGAGGCAAGTCAAAGAGTAAAAGATAATGCACAAAGAATTTATATACAATGTATAGAAAGAACTGCAAATCTGTAAAAAAAAAAAAAAGGCAACCTAATAAAAAGAAAATAAACACATAGAAACAGGTGCCTAACTTCATTAATTATCACAGAAATTAAATTTAAAACCCCCACGTAATACCCTTCAGTATGGCTAAACTGAAAAAGACAGACAATAACAAGTGTTGCTGGAGATAGAGAAGAGCAGGAATTCTCGTATCTGGCAGTACGCGCGCAAGATAATGAAGATAGAAATAGTCATCAGATTTACCCAGCAAACGACATGATGCCAGTGGGGACCTAGGGGACAAGGAAAGAACCACAGAGCAGCAGGATACTACAGAAGCTCGTGGTTACTCAGTTGATGGGTTGGTCTTCTTGCAGCCCTGGAGATATGACCTATAGCAGGAAACTACAGACCATCTCATTCCTACATTACTCGGCAACTACACATTGATGAAACCCAAACCCTGGGTAACACACACAAACACTGAATGTGCTACGTAAAAATCTGAACACTCTGAACCAGTATAATTCAAACCCACAAAACTGAAGGTTCACCTTTGCCTCTTTCTTCTGTAGAGTCTGTGGGAAGCTGAATATTATTTTAGCTCTATTAGATTATGCCTTCAATTTCTTTTATTGGTACAATGTTAACAAGTATTTCGTTATTTATTTTAAAATGTTTTTCTATGTTTCGAGAAAGAAAAGAAATAAAAACTAGTCAAAGTCTTACCTAGCTAGAAGTGTGCAAGTATTTAACCAAGTTTGAAGCAATTACCTCGCAAATGGAAGACGCATCAACGTGCACTTTTTACTGACCCGTTTCTTCTTGCTGGTTGACGGTAGAAAAGGACTCTGATGAAACTATTTTTGAAAAGGAAAAAGAAAATGAAAAGGAAAAATAATTTCTAATCTCATTAAATGTTGTTATTAAAGCACCAAATTATATAAGTATACCAATAGTAATACAACAATTCTGGCATTAGTCTTCAATAGTAGAAAGAGAATAGTGTGCTAAGGTTAAAACATAGTTCATCCTTTATCATGCCCCCCAAAATAATCAATACTAATATTTTGGTATATAAACTCCCAAACTGTTTCTCTGCATATGAATAAATACATGTCATGTATACCCTACATGTGGTAGCTCTACATAAATATGCAATATGCTCATGTCTACATATGTATTATATTATTGCATTTTATAATCTATATTTTTTAATGAACTTTTAAAATTAACAGTCTGGGGGATTTTTTTTTCTTTTTTTTTTTTCATTTTTTATAAACATATAATATATTTTTATCCCCAGGGGTACAGGTATGTGAATCGCCAGGTTTACACACTTCACAGCACTCACCATAGCACATACCCTCCCCAATATCCATAACCCCACCCCTCCCTCCTAACCCCCCTCCCCCCATCAACCCTCAGTTTGTTTTGTGAGATTAAGAGTCACTTATGGTTTGTCTCGGTCTGGGGGATTTTGATGTATCTTTTAAGTTTTCACTTATCTATATTTTCTAAATCTTCTCATACATTTTTTGAAACTGTTTTAATTATTTAATAAAGACCGTAAAATCACACAACCCACAACCATGTCTTCCTATTAGTGATAACCTATAATAGAAACAAGAGTATGGCCAAATTGACAAGCTAATTTTATTTTATTTCTTTTTTAATTTTAATTTTAATTTATTTCTTTTTTTTAATTTTCAATTTTTTAAAAATTTCTTTTCAGGTAACAGTATTAATTGTTTTTGCACCACACCCAGTGCTCCATGCAATCCGTGCCCTCCCTAATACCCACCACCTGGTTCCCCCAACCTCCTACCCCTCCGCACCTTCAAAACCCTCAGGTTGTTTTTCAGAGTCCATAGTCTCTCATGGTTCACCTCCCCTTCCAATTTCCCTCAACTCCCTTCTCCTCTCCATCTCCCCATGTTCTCCATGTTATTTGTTATGCTCCACAAATAAGTGAAACCATATGATAATTGACTCTCTCTGGACAAGCTAATTTTAAATTCACATGGAAATGCAAAGGATGCAGAATACTTAAAACAACTTTGAAAAAGAAAAACAAAGTTGGAGGGCTATGATAATTGAGATAGTATAGTATTAGCCTATAGACAGACAAACAGATCAATGAAATACAACAGTGTCCAGAAACAGACCCACACACATTGGGTTATTTTTTTTTTCTTTTTTATTTATTTGACAGAGTGTGAGACATCAAGAGCAGGAACGCAAGCAGGGGGGAGTGGGAGAAGCAGGCTCCCCCCCGAGTAGGAAGCCCAATGCCGGGCTCGATCCCAGGATCCTGGGATCATGACGTGAGCTGAAGGCAGACCCTTAATGACTGAGCCACCCAGGCGCCCTGGGGTCAATTAACTTTTGACAAAGGTGCAAAGGCCAAATGCGGAGCCTAGACTTCCATATTCACCAGGCTATTAACAAGGCCAACTCTCCTCCAGACCAGTGGTACTGTCCGAAAAGGTCAAGGAGAGGAAGGACAGTCCAGTGGTAATGAGGACACCCCCTGCACCAACAATGTCTGTGGAGAACACACAGGGACTCCAGACTAACAAGGAGCCCCTCTTCCTCTCCAGAGGAAGAGTGGTGACAGAAGAGGTCTAGTACAAAGTCAGCATTTTCACCACTCCGCAATTGTAACAACCTCCCCCCCTTCATAATTCCTGCAATCCTGCTGTCAGTGGAGGCCAGAAAGTCATGAGGCACTCCCCTCTGTCCCAGCCAGGGTGGTGTCAGCCTGAACTCCCAGCTCCATCCATCAATCAGGAGACACCCCTCCCAGGGTGCCAATAGAAGTAGAGTAAAGAACCCAAATTTTGACGCCCTCCAACTTGGCAGTAGGGGGCACTTTACCACAGGCATGATGTCAGAGGGAGCCTGCTAAAATAGAAGGTTTAAATAAGAGCTGGAGATTCTTAATTCAGTACCCAAATGTCCAAGATATAATATAAAATAACTTACCACACCAAGAATTAGGAAAAGGCCTAAATTTGCAAATACTAAATGTGAACACGAAAAGACAATCACAACACCAACACCAAGATGACATTGATGCTGGAATTCCCTAACAAGGATTGAAAGCAGCCACCATAAAAATGCTGTAATAAGCAATCCCTAACATGCTTAAATGAAAAAATAGAAAATCGCAGGAAACAGAAAGTCTCAGCAAATAAAGAGAAGACATAAAAAGGAACCAAGTGGGAATTAGAACTGAAAAATAAAATAACCAAAATAAAGTAAATTAAAAATTGCATCAACATGGATGGGACTAGAGATTATGCTGAGTGAAGTCAAACAGAGAAAGTCAATTATATGGTTTCACTTACTTGTGGCACATAAGGAATAGAATGGAGGACATTAGGAGAAGGAAGGGGAAAATGAAGGGGGTGGAAATCGGAGGGGAGATGCACGATGAGAGACCGTGGACTCGGAGAAATAAACTGAGGGTTTTGAGGGGAGAGAGGTGGGGGTATGGGTTGGCCCGGTGATGGGTATTAAGGAGGGCATGTATTGCATGGAGCACTGGGTATTATATGTAAAAAACAAATCTTGGAACACTACATCAAAAACTAATGACATACTGTATGGTGACTAACATAAAAAAACAAAACAAAACAAAACAAACCTCAATGGACTCAAAAACAAAGGTGGAGGAAATATGTGGACTTGAAGATAAAGCAACAGAAAGCACTAATCTGAGCAAGAGATAAGAGACTGAAAAATAACTAAGAGGCTCAAGGATTTATGGGACCATAACAAAGGATACAACACTCATGTCACTGAAGTCCCAGAAGGAGAGAAAGAGGGCAGAACTGAAGAAATTTTAGAGAAATAATGGCTGAAAATGCCCCAAACGTCGCAAAAGAAACCAATCTGCATATTCAAGCTGAGTAAACCCCAAAAAGGATAAACTCCAAGAAATCCATGCCAGGATACATCAGGGTCAAATTTACCAAAACTAAAGATAAAAATCTTCATGTAGTATCAAAAATGGTACCTTCCTACAGAGTTAGGAATTAAGAAAATAGAGTAGGGACCTACCTCAGTTAAGGAAGTAACAATAAAATAAACCACAGGAAAGAAGAAATGACTTATTACTAAAGAAAGAAGCAAAAATTAATTAAGTTTGAAACACCAAAATGGTAGAATTGAAAATTTAAAAAAAATTAACCCAGAAAATGGTTCTTTTAAAAGAAAAAAAATTGAAAAGCCACAATTACCTAATCTACTGGGGCACAAAATCAAGGTAAAGCCCAAATACAAAAAAATTAGTCAACTGGAAAAATAAAACACAGACAAAATTTAAAAATGACAGAGTATTTTGGCCAACTCTGTGCAAATCAATTTGAAAACATGAATGAAATAGTAATTTTCTAAAGAAATATAAATCAATAAAACTGACCACAAAAGAGAGAAATTTTCCCAAGAAAACCAATATCCATAGAAGAAATGAAGTGAACAAAGAACAACCTTTCCTACAAAGCAAGACCGAGGTTTCACAGGGGAATTCTAAAAAGCATTTAAGAAAAATATTTCTAATATTTTATCAATTTTCTAGATCACAGAGAAAAGGAAACATCCAAATTCTTTTCCTGAGTTCAGTATTTATAATATTTTTTATCAATGGCTAAAGACTGTGTAAGAAGAAAACCTTACTTATGAATAGCAATTTAAAAATTCCTAACAAAATACTGGCAAAAGGAATTTAGGAACACAGTAACAAATGATTTTTGAAATTTATTACAGAATTACAAAACTAGGAAAGCTATTAAAATAAGGCATCAGGGGCGCCTGGGTGGCTCAGTGGGTTAAAGCCTCTGCCTTCAGCTCAGGTCATGATCCCAGGGTCCTGGGATTGAGCCCCGAGTCAGGCTCTCTGCTGAGCAGGGAGCCTGCTTCCTCTTCTCTCTCTGCCTGCCTCTGTGCCTACTTGTGATGTCTGTCTGTCAAATAAATAAATAAAATCTTTAAAAAATATATAAGGCATCATATTAATACATCTAAAAAGAAAGATCATATGTTTATTACTATAGATGCTAAAAAAGTAATTTAAATATATTATTTTTTTATTTAAAAAGCTAAATAACAGAAGTATTGTAAATATGTACATTAGCCTTGAAAAAAAAAAGGATCATTCTTAATGGGGAAGCAGTATCCAACATTTTATTAAAATTTATTGCTTTCTAGTATGTTCTAGACATTGGTGTGGTACAGACAAAAATCCTATCCTCAAGAACCATATGTTCTGGAGAGATGAATGATAAAATTAATGAGTAAAATTATGTGTCATATAGTGCTAAGTGATAAGGAGAAAAATGAAGGCAAGAAAAGCAGAACATGAAATGTTGGGGCAGGGGTGGGGAAGGACTCAGATTTATTTAGGGTTGTCGGGGAAGTCTTGACTGAAGTGACTTTTGAGTCAAGATCTGAAGTAAGGGAGTAGGCCATGTGAAGGAAGAACAAGTCGAAAAGCCTTGAGGTGGCAGCTTGCTTGTGTTTGAGGAGTGGGAGGAGGTCTGCGGATCGAAGGTGTTAGAGTGGAAGGAGTTGAGTAGTCACTGAGGTGAGAGAAGTTTCAATTTTCAGGCAACAATGGGCAATAGATGACAGAGAAAGCCACTGGCGAGTTTTAATGGGGTCTGTCTGGCTGCTATGCTGGGAAGAGAATATAGAGGCAAGGGCAGGAGCAAGAAGCCCAAGCTGGGATGCCACTCAAAAAACTTGGGTAAGAGAAAACAGTAGCTTGTATGGGTGGTCAAAGTCAGGGTTATGAGAAGTGGTAACACTCTGGACTGATTTTTAGGGCAGCACGAGAAGGATTTGCTGAAGGATCCAATATGGGGTATGAGGAAAAAATAGGAAAACAAAATTGCAATTACCTGAGATGAAGACCCCAAAAGGAACTGGTTTGGTGGCAAATATAAAATTTAAGATGCCTCTTAGACACCCAAAGAGAAATGCCAAATAGGTAGTTGGCTAGGTATTGTCTGGAGTTCAAAGGAGATGGCCAGGCTACAGGTACAAATCTGGGAGTCGTGAGTATTTAACGACAGTTAAATCCAGGAGAATGGATGAATCATTTAGGGAAAAAGTGTAGCTAGAAGAGAGAAGTACAAGAACGGAGTTCTGGGGTACCCAAAATCCAGCAGTTGGGAAAATAAAGAGGAACCAGCAAACAGACTGAAAAAGAACAATCAGAGTGATAGGAAGAAACTTAGGAGAATGTAGTATTGTAAAAGTCGCATGAAGGCCAACATAAGGACCAAGAAATATCTAGAGGTTTTAGTAATGTGGAGATCAATTTTCAGAAGAGCACTTTCAGAAGAGTGGTGGTGAAAGCCTGGTTGGTATGGATTCAGGAGAAACTGGAGACAGTGAGAACAATTCTCTCAAAGAGTTTTGCTATAAAGGAGAAAAATGAGAGTAGCTAGGAGTGGGGGATCTGAGTAAAAGGTTTTTTTGTTTTTGTTTTTAAAGATGGGAGATAAGAGATAACGTTTTTGCATCCGGATGGGAATAATCCAGGAGGGAGGGAAAAATTAATAATGCAAGAGGAAAAGGCTTTCTACACTAATGTCAAGCCAAGAGCAAGAGACAACCCAAGTGTCCAACCCAGAGCCTAGTTAAATAGATTAGTCCATTCTAGATCTATCCTAAGCAGCACTAAAAAAAGAATGAGGTAGGATTCCTGGTAATCATATGGAGAGATCTACAAGATATGTCACATTAAAAAAAGTAAGGCATAGTACAAGTAGGGCTAGTATGTTACCTTTTGTGTAAGAAAGGATATATTTAATGTTTTTGTTTTAATATAAAGAAATAAAGCAGTTACCCGTATGAGGTGTGGGGAGAAGAAAGGATAAAGAGGAAAGTAGCTGAAAGCAGAACAGAGGCACGTATGAGCTTTCTGTCTATACTTGGCTATATTGTTCTGATATTAGAATGTCTACATTCCCCAACATCCCCTCCCCCAACCAAAAAGAAAAGAACTGCAAAACTCGAAATATGATATGCAAAAGTTAGTCTGTTCAACAAGAAAGCAGACACCAAAGTTGTATGCTGTCCCTTCACCGTCCAGCTTCTGCATCTACTCTCTTGTCCTTCTCCTAAATCCAGATGCTGATCTCAGTCCTCTTAGAGTTCTCCAAAGAGAACCACACAAAAAGCATCTGGGAACAATGTTGACCTTAGTTACTAAAGACTTTTTCTTAAAGAGCCAGTGGAAGGAAGGAGCTTCATACCAAATAACTCATAACAAACAGTTGAGCAATGTTTTTAGGGCTAACTGTTCTCCACAGTTCTTCCAGGTCTTGGTAATTAATTAGCTTCTTTCTCTTACTCCCCAAGTCAATTCCTGTATTAACTCTACACTCCCCACAGCTATGTCTGATTCTAGTCTTAGTAATTTATTCAGGGCAATTCAATTGAGCCCTGCAAGCTGATCAGCAACACAGAGCTCCTTCCCTGACTTTCCCCACCCACCCACTCACCTACTGAATGGCATCTCTTCTCTTTACAGGGTACTAAATGTATAAGCACATCTCTGCTCACTTGTTGTACTAGGTATCAAATTTATAATAACGCTAGAAGCCACATGTCTTGTGAGCATTATTCTATAGGAACATTTATACAAATCCTTCCCTTATCCAAATGTGGATTAAGTTAGGTGATAAAGTACGCACTCTTTGGCGAGTTTTTATAAAACTGACAAAGGAGCTAAACATTGATCACACAGGTTGAGTTTCTATCTTTTTACTACAAAGACTATGTATTTAGCAGCCCAAAAAATGACTTTTAAAAGTTTTTAAAAGGAGGGGCGCCTGGGTGGCTCAGTGGGTTAAAGCCTCTGCCTTCAGCTCAGGTCATGATCCTAGGGTCCGGGGATCGAGCCCCGCATCAGGCTCTCTGCTCCGCGGGGAGCCTGCTTCCTCCTCTCTCTCTCTCTGCCTGCCTCTCTGCCTACTTGCGATCTCTGTCTGTCAAATAAATAAATAAAATCTTTAAAAAAAAAAAAAGTTTTTAAAAGGAGAGATTTGCAGAAAATTTAGAAAACACAGGAATATATAGACACAATAATAAAATAGTAATGACTGCTAACATTTACTGCATTCTTCCTATTGCCAGGACACACGCTCACCACATTTAACAATTACAGTAATTCTTCATAGATATGCTACCATTATCTACATCATGCAGAAGAGGACATTAAGGTTCAAAGAGTTAAAGGCCAAGGTCACAGGACCAGGAAGTTACAGAGCTGGGATCTAAACATAGGCAATTCCACTTAAAAGCTGTCCTCTAAAGCACTAACCTGCCTCTAGAATCTATTTAATTTACCTAAAACTGGGACTCCACTAACCTTTCTTCAGTTGATTATGTATATTTTGCCTTCTCATTTGTTATTAATTCCTAGCATTTATTTTTCCTATTTAGATAATTGAATTAATTTCACTAATATTTGGCCCTTTCCTCTTCCTGATATTTCTGGTGATTTGATTTTTCCTTGTGATAGATTATAAGAGCTATTTAATCATTAATATTAATGCTTTATCTGCTATTTAATTTTCCCAGTCTGGCACTAGCCTTTAATTTTTATCATTTTTAGCCTTCCATTTTTTTTTTTTTTAAGATTTTATTATCTATTTATTTGATAGAGATCACAAGTAGTCAGAGAGGCAGGCAGGGAAAGAGAGGAAGAAGCAGGCTCTCTGTGGAGTAGAGAGCCCAATGTGGGGCTCGATCCCAGGACCCTGGGATCATGACCTGAGCCGAAGGCAGTGGCTTCAACCCACTGAGCCACCCAGGCGCCCCTCATTTTTAGCCTTCTAAAAAAAAATTTTTTTTGAGAAAATCCATCAATAGCTTTCTTTATGGCTTCAATCTTTCTATCTTTATTTTTAGGTATAGAAAGTCCTCTCCTATCTAACATGAATTTATTTACAATTTCTTCTTACTTTATATATCCCTTTTTTTATTTAAATCCATCGAAAATTTATTTTAGAGAATGGTGTATAGTAGGATCTCCCTCTATTATTTTTTTCCCAAATCGTTTTTCAATTGTACCCATCCTTTTTTTAGCAATACAAACTCTTTCCTAATTTGAAATACTGGAGTATTTTCTATGAATGTCTTCTATGTTTTTTAGTGGTTTAGGGGCCATTATTTTTCACTGAACTGTCTAATCCTGTGTTCTAATCAAAACCTAATTTTTACATAAAAATGTCAATAACCAATTATACCAAATGATAATGTGCCATTAGCCAGTTAAAATATTATCATCCTTTCTTTGCACAAAGTTTAAAATATGAATCTCCAACCTTGATGCTACTGAATCTCGACTATCCTTAGTAATGCTTAAAAAATTACACCACTTACACATAAACTCGACTTACCTCAGAAAGCGTGCTCATTTCAATTGCAGTTATCAAGTTATTGTTCATGAGTGCTTCTATTTCTATAAGTTTCTTATTCTGTATGTATAAAATAAAGACCTCTTTTAATCAATTAAGATTCATACATTTATGGAGATATCATCAGCTGAGAAGACTTAAAAAATAATTGAGATCATATTGAGCTAAAATGGTGCTACATTCTATAGTTCAAACACACACACACACACACACACACACACACACACACACACACACACTCACCCCTTGATTGGTTTTGAGCTCTCAATTATAAATTTTCTTACAAACATTTCTCTATCTTCTTGTAATAATAATACACCCCCTGGAAACTGAACAGTTTGTTAGACAACTTAACACTCACGAATAGATCAATTTTTCCACTATAAATGAATTTCTGCTCATTTCAGAGTTAGAACTATAGTCGCAGCCTAGCTGACCATTGGCTCTTGCTGACCCATCTGTAGACAGAGGGAAGTTGGACGGGAAAGCGATGACTACAATCTTCATGATATTTGGTGTGTAGCCAGGGGGATGCTGAGGTTAAAAGAGAATACAAACACTCTGGGAACTCCCCTCCTTTCATTGGAAGAATTATGTCCACCTTCTTAAAATATATTAATGCATCAAGCTTTGCTAATGATAAACAATCGAATGTTGATCAAGGTATTACACTGGCTTGCAGGGCCCCAAGTGCACATTCAGGATATAGACTTAAAACACCTATTTCACTACCCATTAACAGTTTGTTCATTAATATGGCATACTCTTTCAATAATTTTTTATAATGATTGGAGATTCGAAAAACATTTTTAGAGCTTCTATAATAATATACTTAATAATCAGTCTATGATTCAGAATTCAAATACAATATAGTTTCCATACCAAATTATTTAGTTTTAGGCGAAGAAACGTGTTCTCAAAATTCAGTTTCTCCACTTCTTTTTGCAATAGCGTCCTTTCAGTTGTAATTCTTCGAGAATTCTCTTTCTCTCTACTAAGAGCCTGAGCTAATGCCCTGTTGTTGTGCTTTAAAGAAATTTTGAAAATAGAAGAATTGTCTGTAAAAAAATTTTTAAAAAGTTAATATTGAACTTACAGCTTCATAAGTTTTCATATCCTTAATGAAACTATTTTAGGCACAGTATATTGTAAGTTTTAACTAAAGGTTGGAAAACAATAGAATAACAGTAGAGATGTAGTTTTGAAAAAAAAATGTATGCAGAGTTTGGATCTGCAGAAATAAAAGCTAGACAGAAGATGAAGAATAAAAGGGCTGTGAGGAATACAGACTGTTGTGAATACAGAGTTAGGGATAAAAGATGTCAAGGACAGACATAGTATCCTAGATATTTCGACCAGTCACAAAAACTCAGCCTTGACACCTGTTGCCCTACTTGCCTTCCTACTTGGACTAGGAGGTAGAATGGAGAAGCTGATTCTGAAGCTCTAACTGGAGATATATAGGTACTAGGGTAGCCAATCTGTCAAAATTTTTAAGCCAGTTTCTGTGACTCCAGAAAATTAACAAATTAAAATTATCAGTTTATGCTCCTGAAGTCCATTTTTCAAAGTCTTGAGTGAAATGGAGCATACTTACTGTAAGGCTGGACAGATCATCTAAACCCTGTGGGATCTTCTATCTCTACCCTAAATATCCAACTCTTATTTCTAGGCATTTATTGCAATCTAAACTTGACCCCTTCTCTTTCCAAACATTATATAAATATAATTTATATCAGAAATGTTTCTGTGTTGTTAGTAGAGAAATTTAATTGTGAATTCCTTGGTAAAGTCCACCTTAAATATAGTATGTTCCCTCAGTATACAGAGAGCATACTTACATTTTCATAATTTTTATTTAAATGCCACTATTCAATAACATATCCCACTGAATAGAAATATAGTATCTATAAGATATGCTTATGAAAGAAATATTTTTTAAACACTCAGGGAATGTCTGGGCATCTAAAAAACAGGGTCCAAAAAAGTACCTTATCTTTGGTATAGAAAAAGCAGTTTCAGATAGCCACCTTTGACACAAAAATAGATTAGAACTGGTTTTGGATTTCCAGAGCTAAAGGGTAATAATATTTTCCTGCTGCACTCCTCAAACACAGCATGTTCCTTCATAATAATGGGTGTCCAATAGTCCTTCCCAACAGAAGAGGAAATAGCCACTGAATGGGGGGCCCAATATACCATAGGACCCTAGACAGCTGGGTAGGAGAAACATTAAGGTTTAAAGATACTCAGAGGTTTTAGCTATTTCACAGGGCATGCACGATTACCCTTCACAGGGGCTATACCAGCAGGAAACCTCTCCCCCTCCTGCTAAGATACATACGAACCACTGAGATATTTTTCAGAAGTGATGAGAATTTATCTTGGCAGTTTTTCCCACTTCTTCTTCTTCTTCTTTTTTTTCCCCTTCTAAAATCTTAGTTCCACAACCCATGAAACCGTGTCTCCAAAGGCTCAGCACCCTCATGAGTTTCGGCTCATGAAAACCACCCACTACAACACTCTATCTGGGCCAACCACGTCTAGATCATCCATCATCCTCTTGCTACAGCACGCAAGTACAATGTGTCACTTTTTTAGCTCTTTTCCAGAAATGTCACATTGGTATTTTCTTTGCTGTGTAGGAGGTAGCTGCCTTAGGCTACCCCAGCCTGACTGCTGAAAATTCTGCTGTCACCACTGAGGGTAAATCATCATAACCACTCAGCACACAGGAGTTGAAGGATACAGGAAGGAGTGAATGGACAAAATGTACCAGTTAACAAAAATAGTCATTTTAGTCGCTTCTATACTTAATAAAATAAAGTACCAAATACTATGTCAATTCTCCAAGGGCTAATGGCACTTACTCAATATTTTTGTTTTGATTTTTGAAGCAAGGGAAACATTCAGCTTCCCAGTCTTTGAAACTCTTTTGTCGTTCACATGTCTCTTAATTCCTGAAGTAATAAGTGAGCCAGTGTCTATCACTGGGTGTTCCATCACTGAAATAGAAACAAAAAAGACAGAAATCAGAGTACTAATTAATGAAAGAAAAGAGGATAACTGATAAATACATTCTAAAAGGTAACAATCATGACTTAGGTGACACAATTTGTTTGTATATAAGTATTTGCAAAACCCTCTGTACAAATCTGAAAATATGCATATAGTCAGAAGTGGTTTGAAGTAGTATCCAAAAAAGGTAAATGACTGTTTTTTCATCCAAACCTATATTATTATATCTATGCCTCAGGAGCTAGGTTAGGCACTGGGGACAGAAACCAGGATAGGGTTGTATGGGAATGCACAGTCATGGAATGCAGAGTCTGCTGTGAGTACAGATCCTATTTCGATACAATGTAAGAAGTGTAACCTTAGAAAATGCTCAGAACAGATAAACCTAATCTTAGGAGGTCAGGGGCTAGCTGTTTTGGAGGAGCAAGCAGGAAATCTTGAATGTGTCTACTTGTCCATTAGAGTAACGGTCTATTAGACTCTAAAGTCTACGGGACCACTCTAAGATCTAACAGTGGAAAGAAGATGATAATCGTATTATACTATGACAAGAAAAACTGATATAACACACATGCATAAAAGTAATTAACTGAGCAGAGAAGAAGGATCAGAAAAGGTTTTACTGAGAAGGTAGCTGAACTATGTACTTAGATATGATCAACCTCTCAAAACTCCCATTCCCTCCCCAAACCTCCTTGCCTCTGGCTTCAGAGATCTAGAAGAAATGCTGTTACCTGTGCCTGCCTACCCCTAATACTCAGCCTCTCCCCATTACCTGCCTTAAGTCCACAGGACTAACCTCACTATCCTCTCTGTATCAATCACAGACTCTCCAGGCTCCCAGGTCACCTTCATCTCCCTGGTCACCTTCATCTCCCTCATCCCAATCCTCCTCCAGCTCTGCAGCAGGCTAAAAATGGTCTCCCAAAGACATCAGGTCCCAATTCCTCTTATTCTGAACCTTATGTGGAGAAGGGGTCTGTACAGATGTGATTAAGTTGAGGATCTGTGATGGGGACACTGTCCTGGATTTTATCTAGTTAGGCCCCCCAATGCCCTTACTAGTGTCCATATTCTAAGTAATACACTTGAATAACTAAACAGGGCATATCAAACTTAACCTGCCCAAACCTGTTTCACTCTAAGCCTTCTCTGTTTCAGTTAATGGCAACTCCAACCTAGTTCCTCTGGCCAAAAATCTCTCATACCCCAATCAGCCTTCACAGTACATTAGAATCTGACCGCTTCTTACTACCTCCACTACTATCAGCCTAGATGAAGGCGCGGACACGTCTCACCTGAATTCTTATAATAGCCTCTTGTCCTACTTCCACTGCTGCCCTCTCTACAGTGTATTTATTAGTCTATACAATCTAAAATTCTTCAATGGTTCCCATTTCTCTCAGAATAAGTTGAAATTCTTCAATGGTCAAGAAGTCCCCCCATTATCTGTTCTTTTCCATTTCTCCCATTTGAACTCTTCCTTCTGTCCCCTAGTATATTCTTTCCAGGCCACACTGGCCACCAACCTCTAACTGTTTGGCAAACGGCAGCCATTCTTTAGCCTCAGGTCCTTTGTACTGGTCACTCTCTCTACTGAGAAAGCTCTTCCTCCAGATACAGAAATGGCTCGTTCACTCTCCTCCAAGTCTTTGCAAAGATGTCACCTTCTCAGTGAGGTCTTTCAAAACTGTAGCTCCTTTCCTCAGCATATCTGATTATTCTTACCCTTCTCTATTTTTTCCATAGCATTTAAATCACTAATATAGTACAGAAGTGACCTATTTTCTATCAACTAGAATTTAAGTTCCAGAAAGTCATGGATTTTTCTATTTTGTTCACTGACATAATTTGCAGCTCACAGACCAGTGTCTGACAAGTAATATGAACACAATAAATATTTATTGAATGAATAAATAAGTCTTAAAAACAAAGAATTTGTCAGGTATGAAGATTTGAAAGGGTATTCCAGGAAAAGGAATGGCATGTGTAAATGCATGAGAATGGAACATTTAAGATACCAGTGATCTCTTGATGCTAGAATGTTATTATCCTATCTGTTTCTCTTAACAGCAAACTCTAAAGAGTTGTCCATACTTGCTGTCTCTGATTCATCCCCTCCCATTCCCTCTCGATCTACTCTAATCAAGTTGTTGCTCTCACCACTACCATATGGAAACTGATCAATTAAGTAACTAAACTGCAACGCTGCTCAATCAGATATAGTAGTCAAGATCAAGTTCTCAACTGATCTATGATTTTAATCACAGTATTTGATATCAGGTCATTCTCCCTGAAAAATACCTTTAATGGGTTTCCAAAATATCCCATTCTCTTGGATTTTTCTGCCTCACTGCCACTTCTAAGTCTCTCCTGCTGATTATTCTTTATCTCCCTAACATTTTACCAATGGAGTGCATCACATCTCCATCCTTGGGTCTCCTCCATTTCCTATGTACACATACTCCTGTGAGGGTATCATCTAGTGCTCTGGCTTTTAAGTCTAAAGGCCAATGACCTGCAAATTTATATCCCAAATCAACTCCAGACTTATTTACCCAACCACCTACTCCTCATCTCTAACTTGGATGTCTAATATGTACCTCAAACTTAACATGTCCTAAACTCACCCACCCAAACCTGCTCCACTGTGTTCTCTCCATCTTGTTTAACAGCAATTCCATCCTTCTACTTGCTCAGCTTGGAAACATCTTTCTCTCACATTCTACATCCACTCTACCATCACTCATGCTGGCCTGACTTTCACAACATGTCCTCAGAGGCCACCTACCACTGTCACTCTGATCCAAGTTGCCATTCTCTCTCATGTACATTATTGCTACAACTACCTAAATGGTGTCCGTTTCCACATTCTCCGCATTCTTCCCCCCTATCAATTCTCAACCTACTAACCAAAATGATCCCTTTAAAACTTCAGTAAATTCATGTCACTCCTCTGTTAAAAATTCTCCAGTGGCTTTCCCTCTCAATGGAGTAAAGTCATAATCCCTGCAATGGCCTATAAGGTACTACACAATTTGACACTCCCCCCTCCCGCACCCCAATTCCCCATTCAATACCTCTCTGACCTCTTCATCACTCTTCCTTTGCTCACTAAGCTCCAGCCACACTAGCTGCCTTAGCATACTCCCACTGCAGAACTTTTATATTCCTTTCTTTCCCCCTTTGTATCAACTCTTCTCCAAATAATCACAGCGTTTACTCACTGTCTTTACTCAGATGTCACTTTCTTAGTCTTTCCAGAGGAAACTATTTAAAATTGCACACATGGCCCCATTTCACTTCCTATTATATTTTTTTCCCATTGATTTATCAGTGTCTAAGCTAAGATTACATAATTTCCTTATTTAATTGTCTGTCTTCTCCTACTAAAATGTGTTTCACAACATTGTTTGCCACTGTACCCTTAGCAAGGAGTGCCTAGCACACAGCAGCTACTGGACAAACATTAGCTGAAGAAAACAACTCTGGATAAATGGAAGAAGTCTCAAATACTCAGAACTGACCAATATTAGAATGAGTCACCTTTGCAAATACTGAGCAGATGTTGGGAGATGTCAAGCAAATAATGGGAAGATGGTTTTAAAAGAATTTTCTGCAATGGGGAAGAAGTTTAACTAGGAACCTTACAACACGGAGGCTCAATGTTTCTTCCTAAAGTTTTGCCAAAAAGAGAAAAAAGTAAAATCAAAGATCACCAACTATTCCATGGATAGAACATAGGAATGTACAGAAACTTAAGACAAATGGTTGCATCTCACACTCTTGAAGGGATACTAACATAGAAATCTTGTCCATCTCCCAAAAAAATCCAGTCAGAAGGATCAAATCTCATTTTGCTAATTAGGAAACCAATGCTGAACTGTCCTCCTCAGTAAGTTGGTTCTTGGTTCCTAACTTAATAAATGGCACTAGCAATCACTCACCCAAACGCTCAAGCCAGAAATCAGAATCTTCCTTTTTTTTTTTTTTTAAGTTTTTTTTTTTTTTTTTAATTTGACAGAGAGAAATCACAAGTAGGCAGAGAGGCAGGCAGAGAGAGAGGAGGAAACAGGCTCCCTGCTGAGCAGAAAGCCCGATGTAGGGCTCGAACCCAGGACCTGGGATCATGACCTGAGCCGAAGGCAGCGGCCTAACCCACTGAGCCACCCAGGCGCCCCCAGAATCTTCCTTTTAACACTGCCCTGTCACCCTCCACATCAGCAACCTCGCCAGGTAACACTTGAGGAACCTAAGCCAGCCACTGGAGTACCATTCAAGGGTGACTTACCATACAGAGTGAGGTATTTTAAACAGCGGTCAGGACTGCGTGGAGCATCCGAGATTCAACATTCGGGTATGTTGTATGACGTTTGTATGACATTCATTGCTATGTCACCTTAACAACTCTAGGTCTCAACTTTCAGACTTACCAAGTGAGAGAAAGGAAGGGCATCTCGTTGTAGGGACTAACTGAACCAATGTATGTACAGTGCCTCGTACAGGACTTGGCACATAGCATTCACTGATAGGAGTTATTTATTATTTATTCTGCAGCTCTTGTCTGGGATGATCCCGGCTAACTCTAAATCAGAAATACTAAGTTCCAAATCCGGTTCTCCTGAATCGGGTCCATCATCTAGAAAAACCATCGTCCCTATTCCCTACCGAAATCCTACCTGCACATCAAGACCCAGTTCCAGTTCTAAGTTTTTCCCAGTCTTCCATCGCCCCTTCGCCTTAAAAGAGATCCGAAGGAGGAGGCTCCTTCCAGAACTCGGGTAAGCAGTCTCTCAACGTTCATCCCGCGGGTATGTATGAAGGGCTCACAGTGAAGTAGAAAATGTTCTTAAAAAGCAGGGAGTGGTGCAGTCACACAGAAATCCCTACTTTCAAGGAGCTGACCTAACCGGCCGCTCGCCCCCCTCACGCAGCCGGGCGCAAAATCGAAGGGACGACAGGCAGCCAGTTAAATCCAAACCAGG